CCCTGTTTTGATCATATCGCTAAAAAATGATGAATTACAATTTTATCCGATGAGAATTCGTATTAACGATTTCGAATATTACGATTTGATATACAATTTGCATACCGTGACAAAATTTCGAGTGAGTATCATTTGTGCATGTGAAAAATGCGCACCGAACAGCTCATAAGAATTTATAGAAATGTTAAAAAGTCTGAAGTTACGATCGTTCAGTTTTATCTGGAATCGTGATTTCGAAACGATCGATGATAAAAATGGCGCACAAAGTAAATTGAAAATTTTAGACAGAGATTCTCTAGAAGAAAGTTTAGAATATCATTCTTAAAAATCACATTTTTGGTAGATTAGTCGGATACCTCGACGTTGTAGACTGTGAATTTTAAGATACATTTCGTGCCATATTACGTAACGATTGTTATTGACTTCCTTGTAATTGAAAAAAATAATATGAATTTACAAATCTTCAATTTCTATTAACTTTTTTGAAATGAAAATGACACATGTAAACATATATATTTTTTACTAAGAATTTATTCAAATTTAAATTATTTATAATCTTTTATTGTATGAAACAAAGAAAGACAGAAAAATAATGGGAAAGAAGTAAAAAATAAATTACAAGGAAGTTAAATTACAGGTGCGCATATGTCAAGCGTAAAATTTAATCCTCTTGTTATATACTGATATAATATTGTCTGTATATTGTTAAAAATATTAAAAGAGAAACAAGAGAATGTAAAATTTTGTTAAAAAATTCTTTCTTTTTTTGGTAGAATTCTTATATTCTAATAGCTAGTTTGGAACATTAAATGTGTGTTTCACTTTGAAAAAATTGTCGATCGATTTTAAATAGAAATTTTTTTAAAAAGTGGCATTGAATAAATCGATTAATCGATTAATATACTGGCCGAAAAAAGAAAAAACATTATGGCATTTGTAAATTACGTAAGCTGCTGCTAATGATGGAAACTATTCATATATACGATCTGAAGAAAAAAAGGGATGACAAATGATTCTATTGTTGTTGCTGAAGTATAAGTTGTTACTTAATGTTACTTACTAGATGTTTATCGGTTAATGAACTTATGCTAAATAGTTCTCTACGATACAACGTACAAATTGCACACAGTTCACACGCGCCTACTTTTCCAACAAAATTATTAAATGCAGTTTTCGTTCAACGAAGCATCGTACATCTATAAAACGTAACGATATTTTATTGTGCCGCTTGATGGAAGCGAAATGGTGAAAAAATTAAAAAATAAAAAACAGAAGCCTTAGATGAAAGGAAAATTAGCTCGATTGATAAGCGATAAATCGTAGGGACCGTTTTTGTATATAGCAAATCGTTTATGAGCGAATAGTAAAATTTGGTTCCATGGCCTAGTTAACGTCCCCGTCCGTTGCTGAAGTAGTTCACAGTTCTTCACTTGAGAGGCACTTTTTAAGAACTTACGTTTGGAATTTTTAATGACCACCATGAGTAATAGATAGTATTTATGATTAGATGCGTCGACATACAAGCACAACTGCAAGTTGAAGCAAAAAAAACCAATATCGCATTGTATTTTAGTGTGCCCTTTGGGAACTGCAAGACTAGGAAATCGCGAAACCGATAGATTAGCCGCTTTCGTGAGGCGAAGTTTTAAAACAAATGTCAGCGGAAAGCATCTGTGTTTCTTAGATGTTTTGTATAAAACAAAAACTGAGCCAATAAAAACATTCTACGAAAGATTCGTTTATTTATTCATATTTTTTATATTAGAAACACATTATAACTTTGAAAGAGAAACGATGAAAGTAAATATTCAATTAATATTTTATATCTATGTTGTATATTGTATAAAATCATTGATAAATGTAGACAAGGAGAGCAAAATGTGAGAGAAGGATAGAGATATGGTAAAAATATTGAAATCAGCGCCATCTTCAGAGTGCCGCAAATGAAACTCACAAAGAAAGGATAGAAAATAGTAAGAGAAAGATGGAAATAGGATAAGAATTGACCGCTAGAGCCATCTCTCGAGGATCAAGGACATATATTTAGAGGATAATCTTTCTAGAAGTTCTTAGAGATGGCACTAATAGTCAATTTTTATTTTATCTCTATCCTCCTTTTATTATTTTTTGTCTTTTCTTTGTGAGTTTCGTTTACGGCACTCTAGAGATGGCGTTGATTTCAGTATTTTTACTTTATCTCTATCCTTTATCTACTATTTTCTTTCCTCGTCTATTCTTGGTCTGCTTATAGTCTATATCGAACTACTATACATGTTTGTTATGCTATACTATGTATTCACAGCGCAGAATCATACTGTACCAGACAACTGAGTGTCGGAGAGGGTGTATAGGGTGAAAAATGTTGCGCTCTCTTGTGTTTTCACGTAAGTTTACGATTTAATTTCAATGTTTTCAATTGTTTTCAACTGTTAAGAAAATAAATATTAAGTGCAGAAAACAACTATTTTTCTTTTTAGCTTAAAATTTTATCATAAATGTATAATTATAGCATATAATTTTACATTTAATTTTATATTTGATTCTAACAGTTTATATTGCATAAGATGTGGCAATTTTGTCTAATTTAATTTGATTTTTCTATATTGAAATATACATTGTCTTTTCAAACTTCAAATTTCAAATTTAATACTACACTATAACCTTTTGTACTGGATTTTTAATAATATTAAAAAATTGTTTTTTTTTAATTAATATAAATATAAATATTTAATTATAAATTTATATAAAACAAAAAAATAAATGAAAAATTAACATGACATGTTTCTTTTTTTTTAGCCTCTGTTAATCAGGGCCTAACATCCCTGATACGCAATAACATTGCATTAGCAGGATGTCCAGCATCTTTAGTTTGTCAGACTAAACACATGGCCACAGATATATCAAAAACAAGTAAAAGTTCTTTGCCACAAAAAGCAAACAAGATACCTTATAGTCCTTTTCAAAATACTAACAATCTTGCTGAATATGTAGTAGCTCGATTAGATGATATTTTAAATTGGGGCCGTAAAGGATCAATGTGGCCACTCACATTTGGTCTAGCTTGTTGTGCTGTTGAAATGATGCACATAGCAGCTCCAAGATATGATATGGATAGATATGGAGTTGTATTTAGGGCTTCTCCAAGACAAGCTGATGTTATTATAGTTGCTGGTACTTTAACAAATAAAATGGCCCCAGCATTGAGGAAAATATATGATCAAATGCCTGAACCTCGTTGGGTTATTTCAATGGGAAGCTGTGCTAATGGTGGTGGTTATTATCATTATAGTTATTCTGTTGTCAGAGGATGTGATAGGATTATACCTGTGGACATATATGTGCCAGGTAACATTATAAAACATTTATATATACATTACATTATACATTACAGATTTATATTATTATTCTTATTATTATATTTATTATATATAAAAATAGAATGAAAATAAAGTTAGCTATATGTTATAAATACATTTCAGGATGTCCCCCAACAGCAGAAGCTTTAATGTATGGTATCCTTCAATTGCAGAAAAAAATTAAACGCATGAAAACATTACAAATATGGTATAGACAATGAATGTAAATACATCTTATAATTGTAGCAAATTATATATAAAAGTTGTTATAATTTAAGCTATAAAAGAATGAAAAATGAAATGAGGTGATAAATTATTTTAAAAAACAATTAAAAATCATTAAATAATTATTTTAAAACGACTAATTTATTACACAACCACATTTTCCTAAGATTTATTTATTTTTATAGATTTTTATCATCATGTACAACCACCAAAAATACATATAAATATTACAAAGAAGAAACTCAAAAGTGACAATATTAATTCAAATGATAAAATTTCAATATTGATTACATAATTACACAAAAAACTTTTTTACAGGCATATAATTCATTATATTTTTTCTCTCTTTTATTTTTTATTATCTTTACTATTTAAAATATGTACAATATCTTAATTTAAAAACAAAGCAAAGAGTCATCTTCGTAGAACATCTTTGCCATTTAGCTTACCACATATTAAGGCCCCTTTATTTTTTTCTTTCTTATATATTGCTCTATTTAATACTACTTACGATTGTATTTATTTTAATTATACATTACATACATACATTGTTTAATAAAAACACATCAACTGATACGCACCACGCATACGATAGGTACGATATTTTTTTTATTTTTCGAAGACGTACTGTAATCTATTGTACCTATCAACATATTTCATAAGAGTACACTTTTATGAACATACTATTATTTCTGTTGTATCCACAGCCCAAATTTTAAACGACTACTTTGGTCATTGAGAAGCATAGTACGTTGGAAATATTACCAATATTTTGTAACATTGTTTTTATCTTTTTTTTATTCGTTCATATCTGTTGTCAAATGTTTTAACCTTTAGTATTTGAATTTACATTTAAACATATAGATTTATAATTTTTTTAAATATGTACCGACGTATTATATATTTGATCCATATTATCTATTATAATATCTTACCAATCTCGATTTAATAAAATTTAATTCAAAACGTATTTGCCAACGTGCTATGTAAACTTGAAAAGTTGAATGGATTATAAATTTAAAATATATGGATAAAATCAACATATTAAGAAGAATAATTACATTATTGTTTTATATTTAAAATGTCACATTCAGATGAATTAGAGAGCAATTGAGATATAAAGAAAAATTAGTACGAACAGAAATTTTTTGTGACAAATCAAATTTTTCAAAACTTAAATTATTAAAGCATTATTTAATAAGCATGTGTTCCTTAATTTAAACATTAATAATATATAATTTTGTTTTCTTATATAAAAATCTATCACTTTTATAGCATAAATTAAATATATTGATTTTAAATTTTAAATGTCTTTGTGCAATAGTAATAATTATATTGAAAAATGTATTTAATTATTTTGATATCTGAAGCATTGTTGATTTTTTTTTCTCTCTCTAATACAGATTTATACTTATAGAAAAGAAAGTTTTGAGATAATTTACAATTTACAAAATAATAAAATATATCCATACTTTATACATATTTTCTTTTATACTATTTTTATGTATTTATCTCTGTGACATAGAAAATGACTACAATAAATTTTGTTTGTACAAACCTATATATTATATATATATACATATATATATATATATATATATATATATATATATATAATATCTTATGAAACCCTGCAAATGAAAATCTGATTTTTAGTTGCCTGAAATTATTTAGGTAATAAATAATGAATGTGGATATTATTTAATATCCATATTAAATTTATTCTCTTCAATTTAATCGCAATTAATCTGCTCCTTTTTTAATTCAACTGATTTTAATTTTTTCATTTAGAAGAGCCTTGTATTTTCCTATTTTATTCCTATCTTTACTCTCTCAATATTATTTATTTTTTAATTTAACCTATAATCCAATAAAATTATACAAACCTAACATATTTTTGTGTTCTGTCAAATATCTTACATGTTTTACACATACAAGTTATGGAATTTTTAGAAATTATTAAAGAATTGCTTGCGACGTCGAAGGTGGTGGATTATTCGGCAAAGCAGGCACAGGCCCATCAGTCCATTGTATAAGAGTATGTTCACCCATTTGTGTACTTTGAAAGTGATCTTTTAAGAGAGTTTGCGAAAACGTGCAATGCATTTGATATGCTTCACTTTCACGACTCGGATCCCCGCAAATTCTATATAAATCTGTCAATAAAAATATCATTTAATTAAAATTAAATTTCTTCTTATTTGAAAAAATCTAATTACCTTTAAGAATAGCAGTAGCCCATAATTGTACATGGACGTCAGGTATTTTAGAAGCTAGTTGCATTGCAGGTGTAACCATGTTCATAGATTCTCTACTATTTCCTAAAGAAAGAAATATATGCCCCAGAAGGACAAGACTACATGAAGTAAGTCTATTCAAATCTTCAGAATTAGCCATTTTTAATGTTTCCCGGAGGTATCTCCTATAAATATATTTATAGATAATCATTAATCTTTTTTTTTTAATATTAATCAATTTAATCAAATATTTATTAAATTATACTTTGCTTCATTGTATCTAGCTCCAAAAAATGCTTGAAGACCCTGAACATAATAGGCTGCTGCTCTTAAAGAATGCGAGTGAGATGGTAAAGATTCTGGATTTATTCGTTCTAATAAAGCACCTAAATCTGCATCTCTCTTTGTCCTAAGATATACTATTGCTAAATTTAAGTTCGCGAAAGTCCACAATTCTCTTTCTTGTGATGTCTAAAAAAAAAAAAAGAAATTATTTTGAATAATGTTATTAAAATTATATATTTAATATTATTAATATTTAATTCGTCTTTAATTCATCTTCTTACTCTCAAAGCAGCTGTAAATTGCGCTTCCGCGGCTTCCATACAATTCATTGACATTGCATATAATCCCAATAAAGCATGCAGTTGTGGTTTATGACCTTGAAGTAACCTTGGTTGTCTTCTACAAAGTTCGCAAGCTTGGGAAATTTCTGCAAGGGCTACACTTTTATTTCCCATCACTAATCGACACATTACTATATGTTCCAATAACATTAATTGGAAAACAGATAATATTGGCTTGTTGTCAACAACTGTTGAATGATATAAACGTTATAAAAATATAACAATTTTGTTAAAAAAATTGTTGTATTTGAAAATTATATTTACTTTTGAGTTTTTCAATTTGAGTTAATGCTTTATCTGTATATTTTTGAGCTTTATCCATATAACCAGCTTGCATTGAATGCATAACTGTTACTAAATAAACCAAAACATATAAATGGTCCTTTGGCATCCATATAAACATATCTCCAATATTTGAACCTGTAACTACTTCATCTGCTGGCCAACTAGGAGACATTATAGTTTGTATACTTTGTTGTAATTGTTTTAAACAAGGTTTTACACTTTTAACCTTCAATAATATATATAAATAAATTATTTGCACGAATTTATTAAATAAAAAATATTATTGAATGCTTACTTGTCCTGCCATTAAATAATGACAGACTTGAAGTACCAAAAAATATACTTTCAAATATTCTTTTTGATGTGGATTACCCTGCCAATTTTCAACATGATGACCAGCTGAATTTAAAAGAGGGTGAACTTCAGTAAATTTTTTGTCTATTAATAAAAGCATACATCGGCTCAACAAGAACAAAACTCTTGTATAACTTGCATTGCTGATATGAGAATAATCAACACCTACTGCAAGTAAACTACTGGCTGCAACAAAATCTTTTTCCGATGCATGTATTTGCTAAAACAAAAATATCATTTGATAATTATATGATTATTGACATTACTTAAAATTATTGATAACTTACTGCAAGTTGGAAAATAAGTCTACAATGCCAATATACATTATGTTGCGAAAGTTCTATAGCTTTCCGTAATATTGGTTTACTAAGATTTGGTTGCTGTTGTTGTTCATATAATTCTGCAACTACACTTGCTGCTTCAAACTTAACATCATCAAAAGTATTTATATTTTGACTCAATCGCCACTGAAATGTAATATTAATATTATATACATATTAATTAAATCACATTTATGATTATACTATATATATTATTAGTTTATTATATATCAGTTAATGTAACAATCTTCAATTACTTCGTATGTTATATTACCGACTGTACCAAAATAAAAAGAAAGGTTAGAATTAAGATAAACAAATGTATGAAAATTTATACAAAACGTACAATAATGATAAAGAACAATATTAAAAAAATATTGAATACAAGTAATTGAAATGTAATAACATTTTAACAGACCGCTTGTTCTAAATGAGACCGCGCCAAATCGATGTTTTTGGTATGCGTAAGAAGGATGTTGCCAAGTTGAAGATGAGTACGTGCTTCAACTCTCGGAGGCGGTTTAAAATTAAAAACCGCTTGTAAGCACTGTATACACGACTTAATATTCGGTGGACTGGAGGTTCGAAAGTTTTCTGCTAGCCCTAACAACGATAGATACCAAGCGTCCTGCGAAGACGCCATTTTGACATTTCACGCGTAAAATTTCAGGCCGTGATAAGACACGGTCACTGGCTTTGCACTGAAAATTGAATTATATTTGCAATGAAATCAAATATCTGTCTTAAATAATCAAATCACGACACGATTTAATTTACAATTTCACAGTGTCCCGTCAGATATGTTTCCCCTGGAAACCGCTTATTGCGTAATGTTTACATACGTATGAATGTAATATTTTTTATATTACTGCTTCACATTTTTTTACGTATATTCTAAGAATTCTTATTACAGGCACAAATAATTGAATTTCGATAACAAGACAAATTTAAATAGAGATTGACATTATTCATTTTAATATTTCTATATACAACGATAATAAACTAGGTATATATACATATCATTTTCGTTAAATTTATAACTAAGCAGTCTAGGGAAATGTAGGTTATTTAATCTTAGGATGGTAGCTTCAAAGTCAAGATTCTTAATTTAAAAATATATTAAATATTAAATAAAAAATACTATTTTATTACATTTTTATTATTTTTAATTTATTCTTTTAAAAGATTTTTTTAAAATAAAAAATATATTCAATATATATACATGTAATATTAATAAAAAATGTATTACAAAAAATAAAAGTTAAAAGCACGTTATAATGATACATAATTTATAAATAAATAAAATTTAGAATTTTTTTTTTAAATTATTCTTTAAATCTCAAAAAATATTATTCCTTATATTTCGAAATATAGAATAAATGTTCAATAAAACATCCAATGCAATTCAATGCTCTTACTATTTTAATATTATCTTCAACATTATTTCTAATTTAGAATAAAATTGCAATATTAATAAAGATTGCGAATAAAATTAAATTTTGATATAAAATCATAAATAATAAATCATAAATAGTTTTTTTCCGAAATGCGTAATTCGTTCTAGACTAGTCAATTATTTATTATGAATCTAATATATTATTTGGCTTCACTTTGATTTCGAATAATTATATGTATATATTTTTATAAAAATGATTATTTTCATTTGTTTTTTTTCGTAACAATATATATATATACAAATAAAAATTTTTTTTTATTAAAATTAAAATAATTTTTTTTAATTAATTAATATTTCTCATAAAACTTGCATATATATAAAATAAATAAAATAATATTCGACAACTGATAACGTTATAAGTAAAAATAATAGATACTGAAAGAAGGACAGAGATAAAGTAAAAATACTGAAATTAACTTCATTTTCAAAATGCCGCAAATAAAATTTATAAAGAAAGAACAGAAAATAATAAAAGAAAAATAAAGAAAAAGAATTGACTATCAGCGCCATCTCTACATCTTTTTAAAAAACAATTGCTTAAACAAATATCTTTTGTTCTCAAGAGATGGCACTGATAATCAATTCTCATTCTATCTCTATCTTTTTTTAATTATTTTTTGTCTTTTCTTTGTGAGTTTATTTTTATTACTCTAAGCAAATGTAGACAGAAAGAAAATAAATAATGAGGAAATAAGATATACATATTGAAATCAACGTCATCTCCAGAATGTCGCAAATAAAACTCAAATATAGATAAAGAGAACAAATAATAGAAAAAAAATAAAGATAAAGCAAGAATTAATCGTCAGTACCATTTCTGAGAATACTTCTAGAATTATTCTTTGAAAAAATATCTTTAATTCTCAAGAGATGACACTGACGATCAATTCTTATCTATCTCTATCCTTTTCTTACTATTTTCTGTCCTTTCTTTATGAGTTTCATTTGCGGCACTCTGAAGATGGCGTTGATTTCAGTATTTTTATTCTATTTCTGTCTTTTTTCCACTATCTATTATTCTTATCCATAACGTTAGGAAGTCCTCAAAGATTATGTCACTTATCATTTTATAATATATTCACAAGATTTAGATATATTATAATAAAAAAAAAATAATTTTATTGTATATTCTATATACATATATATGTATATTCTTATGATATGTGGAAAAAAAGTACCACAATAATTTTTGTAAAAAACGCATAATCTTTTTTTTTATTCATTTTATTATTATTATATCTTTTAGAACTGTTGCACTTTTAAAATATAATTTATAAATCCCGCGCGACATACAGAAAAATTATATAAATAATCAATCATTAATTTGACATTTAAAAATTATTAATTTTTTTATGAAAGCTATTAATCTTGACCTTGATTATTTATCATTTATTTAGTTTTCCTTACTTTCACATAAAAATCGAACAAACAAAAAAATATCTAATTCACCTAAATATTTTCCAATAATCTCTCCTACATAATTTCCATATCTATTATATTTCCCCATAAAATGTGAAGAAAAAGATTTAGTAACCTTTAATTAATTATAATTCATTGTTCTCGACGGTCAAGGTTAAATATATATCTGCTTTCCGACTAACGTGTTCACCTTGAAAAAAAGAAAAGTAAAAGCAAGAAGTCCTAGTTACCACTAATTATGACAACGATGTCCAAAGAGAGGATCAGACTGCGTTGTTTCGAATTTCAGAGTGATATCTCGTTGGACGATACACACATAAGAGGGATCCGAAGAAAAAGACTCATGTTGGTGAAGCAAGAAAGAAAGGAGGAGGAGTGAAAGAAAGAGGAAGCGAAAGAAGAGATCGAACGAGAAGTGGAGGAGGACGGGGACGAAGAGAGACGGCGCGGGCGCTGATTGGTAGCAGAATCGATTAGCCGAGCCGAGCTAAACCTCCGGCACCGCGGCAGCTTCGGCGACGCCACGAATTTCCCGAATGGGGGTTTCCCGTTGGGGCGGGCCCGAATCCAGGGAATACCCGGCGTTCTCCATGGCAACCCAACCAATTCGCCAACCGCTGACAACCAAGAGACTGACCTACCGTGTGTTGCTTACATTTTTACCCTCTTTTACTTTTTCTTCTTTTTTTCTCCTTTTATCTCTTTCTATCCATCCTTTCCACCGTGGAAACTTCCAATCCGCTTTTCATCCTACCTTCCTTTGTATCCCCTTCTCTTTCTATTCTTTTTTCGTTTCGTTTCGTTTAGTTCTATTCGAAGAGGGGGGGGAAGGGAGAAACAATACCTCTTCTCTTCAACATCGTCGATCTAACTTTCCAAGCGCAAAACTCGTTCTCATATGCTTGTTATACAAACTTGTGCCTATATATGCGTGACAGTATGCGTGTATACATAGGGATGCGAGAGTCAACATTGATTTTGCCGACGACTGATACAACCCCGTCGGCACGTTTAATTAGAACATGGCGACTTTAATACAAGCGCACGACAACAAGAACAACAACAGCGCCCCTTCCCACCCATCCGCTCTCTCTCCACCTTTACATCGTTTCCTCGTTCATCCACACACGCTTCCACGATATATTTCGCGATTTTTTTTCAACTTACGATCTTTCGAATCGACGAAAACTCGTTTTCTTTCCGTTAATCTATCGAAGGGGTCGCTTATCTACCTAGCCTAACGCGGTCTATGCTAGTGCCAAACACCCCTCTCTCTCTCTCTCTCTCATCCATCATTGTCATCGTCGTCATCGTCATCGTTTATTATTATTATCATCCTAGTATTCCAGTTTGTTCGAATCACGCCCACTCCTCTTTACATCACTCACTCACGTCACTCGTCATACATATACGCGATTCTCGTTTCCCTTTGTTCAATCTTCCTGCTCTCTCACGCGTTCTTTCTCTCGCTCTTTTTTTATCACGCATACGTCCACACACGTTTACACTCACATACGTATACATGTGCACGTACAATGGAATCACACAGGACGCATCAGACCGAGATACGATGTTCCCTGGGTTAACGTTATTTTTACTTAATTGAACGCTTGTAAAGTTTTCTGGGGATACGAATATTTGTGTTTATAAAAATAAGTAAAGCAGGTAATGATATTAAAGTAGATATAAATTTGCATCAACGATATCAAACTATACGAAGGAGAAACGTTACTCTAGGAACACCGTACATACATGTATCCAATGTATACATTCTCGCGCTAAGGACTATATTCTCTACACGCCTAAGCTACACATGAAAACATCCTATCTACATTAGAGCCAATCGACATTCCACGGAGTCAGTTTATTGTTATTATTACTTCTTTTTTTGCTGTTTTTTATCTTTTACTCTTATTTTTCTTTACTCTCGTTTTATATGTGTGTGTATATATATATATATTTTTTTTTTCTTTTTCTGGAAAAAAGACGAAGAAAAACTCGGACGGGGGCAAACGTCGTTTTCCCGTCCTGGAGAGAGAAGAACGATCGTCAGTTTTTTGTTCGACCCCGAGGAACGCTCGACAGTTTGTTACGTCTAATCGTTAGAGTAATTCTAAGGTTTGCTTATGTCTTACGAATGGTATGATACAGTATACGACTTAAGGAGTTACTCGCTTCATCGACAGAGGTACACCTTTCCACAATGAGGGGTAAGTTCCATTTTTTTCCCCTTTCCTTCTTCTTTTTTTTTCTCTTTTTTATTTAACCTTGTCTTAATTTAAGGATCCACGGTCGATAACTAGGAATCGATTGGAGACCTACCCCTGTGTTCCGTGCATAGATAGAGCGACCGCATCTCTCGATTTATCGACTGAAAATCGATGTGATGAACGCGGATCTCGTACGTTCCGTTTTTTTTGATATGACTCGACGTTGTACTTTATCAATCTCGATAATTGCGACTCGTGCTTCCAGTTCCATCGATGGATTCGCGTTCACCCGGTTCGTCCATTACGCTTTATTGCCTTCTCTGGTGTCGATTTCGCGGCCAACGAGGACTTCTCGAATTACCTTTTCAGATCTATGCCGCTTTTACCTTCAAAGTTAAAAACACATTACAGAGAATTCCTGAGCTGAATTAAGATTAAAGAATATTTTCATTTCCATGATTGTCTTTCACCGTTGTTGTAATTCGATTTAAACGACATTCGTTTTTTTTAACAATTGATTTTCTTCTTAAACTCTCGATCGAAATTAACGAATTTTGTTCCAAGATTTTCGAAGAGTTGCGTCATTATACCACCGGGTGAACGGTTGCACGATTCGTTCGCTTGGAAATTTACTTCGATCTGATTCTTTCTCGCGTCTTGTTTCGTTGTGAACGTGTGTATATTCGCGTTTCTTTTTTTTCTTTTTTCTTATTCTTTCCAGAAAACGACGACATGCGGTTCCTCTATCTACGTTACTCGTTACCGTAACAAATAAGTTAAAAGAGTTTATAATACACGCATTACTCTTGGCCCGAATCGAACATGTACACATTTCTCGCGTAGAACGATCAAGCTTATTTTGAATGTCGATTATCGTTATGGATTCGTGTGTGTGTATCTCTCTGTGTGTGTGTGTATGCGCGTGGGTGGTTGATTGGTTGGTTCATTGTTATCATCGACAATTCGACGAACCGTTCACGAAATTGTTCGATCGCGCCACTAAACGGGGATATATGCCTCGTTAAAATGCGCATGTTCGATTCCATCCAGTCGGAAACGGCGACATTTCTCAGCGGAAGTACGCCGGTTTGTTATTCGCGTACAAGGCGACGTCCTTTCAGGACGGGATAATTCTCGACACGCGGTTTATCGCGGCGTTATCATGGTTAATTAGATTTAGAGAACAGATCGAGGGGATTCTAAAAATCTATATGATATTTTAATAATATTTTCTCGAAAATTTCTAACGAGAGAGAGAGAGAGAGAGAGAGAAAAAAAAGAATTTAGAGAGATCGATTTAAAAAATTATTAATCAACGTGAGAAATTGTATTTTTCTAGAAAAAAATTATTTATTGTATCAGGCAATAATCAGACGACGAGGTGATAAAACGTCGAGATAAAACGAGAATAACGAGAATAACGTCTTGCGAACGTACCCTGTACTTACTTGTAATCCATTATATTGTATGTACAATGTTCTTACAATAAATTCGAGCGCACCGTCGACCGTGAAACGAAAAAATGTTTGGAGCGGAGTGGCGCAGCGTGGTCGTCGATATTACTCGTCGTTGGTCGCTGTTCGCTCCCCCTTCCCTCCTCCCTCCCCCCCACCTCTCCCCCCTCCCCCCAAAAAAGAGAACGAGATCTCAAGTAATTGCTGTTTACTTTTGGATCGTTTAATCTGTCCACGAATGGTCACCAACGATGTTAAAGGTAAAGGATTACATTTCATACGATTTAAAACATCGCCTACTTAATAATATCCTTATAAACGGAAAGGATCTTTATTAATTGTTCTTTGTATAACTTCATGATTTTTGATCGCGACACTTTTACAAATATATAGATAACTTATTTACAATAATTATATGATACAATGGATAATTCGTTAACGAAGATTAAAAGTTTATTTTTTTAGTTCTTCTGAAAAAAAAAATAATAAATAAATAAATAAATAAAAATCGACAAGGATTTCGTTAGGGATTTCGTTTTGATTTTTCTTTTAATAATAATGGATGATGCAGTAGTACAGATCACGATACAGTGAGATTGAAAAAAAAAAAAAAAAAAAGAAAAAAGAAAGAAAGAGAGGAGAAGGTTTAATATTTAAAATTGGATATGTATCGGTGTAATTGTGTATCTTAAATAGCTATTATTATTATTAAATACTACCGAGTTAAAAAGTTTTCTTGAAAAATGCTATTTATCTCGGTTTCGATTCTAGAATGGGTTCTGTTCCAATACGACTCATACGATAATAATCTTGCCTTTGAACAGAGAAAATAAGAAAAAGGTATCCATTATTCCATCCCTCACCGGTACTAACCGCTCATCCCATAACAACGAATTCACTTCTACATCCACGTTTCGACGAACAAACGGAATCAATTTTTTCGGAAATATCGAATCCAATCCAATGACGCGTATTCACTTTTTCTTACTTCATATAATTTAACACTATTAAAAAAAAAAAAACCTATCTTCAATCAATACCATTTAACGAAACAATTCCTACGACGAACGAATCCTCTCCCCCTCCCTAAAATAAAAAAAGAAAGAAAAAATAATTAAAAAAAAAAAAATCGCAAGAGGACAGATAAAACGATTGTTACGGAGAAGGACGAAGACTAGGAAGAGACTGTGGAAAAACGCGTAGGTGTGGTCGACACCGGCCGACGGCGGCGCACGTAGACCGCGATGGCGGCGGTCGGTTAAATTCCCTCGAGTAGAAAGTTGTTAACGTGGCGTACCCAGGGCGCTCCAGTGCTCGGCGGTGGGTCATGCGTAATGCGGATAGGTGCCCAGATGAGGCGGCACATGGCCGGAGGCCGTGTGGTGGCCCGCGTACAGGTTTGCGCCCGGGCTCGTGGACCAGTAGCTGGAGGCAGATTGGAAAAGGCCACCTGGAACGGAGACCGAGACGGAGGCGGCCGGTGGCGGCATGAGGTTTAACTTGGCGTGCCCGTAACCGGACATGAACAGCTCGCTTTGGTACTTGTAGGCGGCCGGATCCGCGGCGGCGGGCTGCGTCGCTGCCGCCAGACCTTGGAAGTCGAACTTGTACGCGTACCTCTTCCCGTGGACCTTCGTCATGATGTTCTTGTCGTAGTAATACCTGAAAAACGAAGATATTATTATGTGACGCAACGTGAAAAATTGTCGAGAGGGGGCGCTTTTAGGCTATGCAGGTGTGCGAGCCGGGTTGCTCGATGACAGGCATCTACCTACTGTTGGGAAAAATGTGTTAGAATAGTCCACTTCAAATGGTTTGTTTGACATGGTGATATATCCAAAATCGTGAAAATTATTTTCATTTATGAAGTCAACTAAAAGTGAAAACTATTTTCGAAACTATCTATAGGATGTCTAGCTTCGTATATATACATAATTATTAGCTTAATTTATAAACTATATCGTTACAAATTGTAATTAATTTACGCATATTACGAGAAATAAACAAATTTTTATATTACATCGATACGTTAGAATTCTCTGGAGTCTATGCCTACGTTAATGCATCGAGATTTAGATACGCCGTATTGAATTAGTATATGTGACAAATACCACGTGACAAACACTTTCCAAATTAACCAATCAGACCCGCGAGACTTTTTTCAGCAGTGAACAGTAGGTATGCAAGCCGAGTTGCTCGACGATAGACGTGTAAGTAGATATGCAAGCCGGGTTGCGCAACGATAGGCGTCTAAATAGGTATGCAAACCGGGTTGCTCGATGACAGGCATCTAAGTACGTATCTTCGATCTAATTAATTAAATTAGAGAAAGAACGTAAGTTTTATTACAATTTCTCGTCATCTTCTAGATATTACCCACGAAAGAATCGTTACAAAATGTATGTGAAAACGGGATTTTTAACAAAAAATTGAACCTGTACAACCTTCATCATTTTTTCTTAGCATGGTTTTGCTAGAGATATGATCGAGCAAATGGATACCGCGTTCCGTCGTAAACCGAGAATGTTTACGAACGCGATGGAAGTCGTAAAAATCTCTTGGCGCGTAAGCCAGAGGATTCTTATTTAATAAATTTTATTCGCCAACACCGATAACGACTCGGTTTCCGCGGCGATGCGGAAATGTCTTTCCCTTTTTTCCCTTCCTTTTTGTTTTCTTTTCTATTTTCTTTTCCATCGAGTTATTGTCGCGCACCGCAGCCTGAAACTTGTCCGCGTTCAACGCACGAAGGGATGCCGGCTACTGATAGAGAACAGGATAGAAACAGAAGAAACAAGAGAAACAGAGAGGAAGAGAGAAAGAGAGAGAGAGTGGAGCAGTCTCGCGTAATATAATCAGTCGATCTGATCGAAAAATAATAGCCGCGTCTGCCGTCGGTCTGACTGTCGGTGATTGAAATTTCTCTCCCCCTTCTGGCTTCCCCGCGCAATCGCTGCGCGCCACCGTCCTTTCGTTCAACGAATTTACTTTCTCTCCGGATACTTCCACGTCTACCCGTTAAATATTGACGTTTCTCGCCTGCGTTTTTTTCGCTCTCTCTCTCTCTCTTTCTTTCTTTCTTTCCTTTTTCAGTGGGAATTTTAACGTACGAATCGCGCGGTTTAATCGCGCGCGCTCGATTAATTAAGGCTCTCGATAAATTTGAAAACGATGCAACGATAAATAGAGGTGAAAAGTAATTTATATAATTCGAAAAGTATCCCTTCCTCTCCGTTTCTCGTAATTGCAAATTTTGGATTTGACAGAAGTGAATGGATCCATTGGAAGAATTATAATACGTATCAAGTTTAATCGCGCGCTCTACATAAATTATAAAATGATATAAAGGAAATCGAGGTGAAAAGTAATTTAAATAATTCGAAAAGTATCGCAAATTTTGGATCATAGAAGTAAATGATTCTACTGAAAGAATTTTAATACGTACAAATCGAGGTTTAATCGCTCGATAAATTACAAAACGATGCAATGATGAAAAAAATCGAGGTAAAAAATAATTTTAATAACTCGAAAAGTATCGTAATTGCAAATTTTCGATTACAGAAATGAATGGCTCCATTAAAAGAATTATAATACGTACGAATGGCGATACAACGATGAAAAAAATCAAAGTAAGAAATAATTTTAACAATTCGAAAAGTATCGTAATTATATCGTACATTTTCGATTACAGATGGCTCCACTGGAAGAATTATAATACATACGAATGGCGATTACAAAACGATGCAATGATGAAGGAAATCGAAGTAAAAAATAATTTTAACAATTCGAAAAGTATCGTAATTACAAATTATCGATTACAGAAATGAATGGCTCCACTAAAAAAATTATAATACGTACGAATGGCGATTACAAAACGATACAATAATGAAGGAAATCGAGGTAAAAAATAATTTTAACAATTCGAAAAGTATCGTAATTACAAATTATCGATTACAGAAATGAATGGCTCCACTAAAAGAATTATAATACGTACGAATGGCGATTACAAAACGATGCAATGATGAAGGAAATCGAGGTAAAAAATAATTTTAACAATTCGAAAAGTATCGTAATTCCAAATTTTGGACCGCAGAAATGAATGGCTCCACTGGAAGAATTATAAGAATGGCGGTTTAATTCGATGACGAGTAAGCGTTGTGCGAAAATATGAATAAAGGAAGAGCGAAATGATAGCCGCAACGAAAATAAAAATTTGTTTCGTTTCAATGGAAAAAAAAAAAAAAAAAGAAATGTTTGCAGGATGAGAGGCGTAGAGAGAGAAGGATTATAAGGGGCATCACTCACCTTAAAGCCCTCGACAATTTGTCATAATTCATATTAGGCTTGGACTTCCTTTCGCCCCAACGTCTCGCCACCTCGTCGGGGTCAGTCAACTTGAATTCCCCGTTGGTTCCTTCCCACGTAATGCACGCGGCGTTGCTCGAATCCGACAGTAGCTCGAGTAAAAATTGCCACAGCTGAATCTGACCGGAACCGGAGCTCGCGAGCCGACTGCTCGTCGCTCCGAACATTTGATAGGGATCTAGAACATTTGGAGAGAGAGCCCGAGCCGTAATTCACCATCCAATCTCTTTGTTTATCCTCCGAATAAATTATGTATCCTCCTCGCTTATATTATACATATCCACAAAATTTCCAAACGATGAGATTTGGAAAAATTCTAGATAGGATGTTTTAATTACCATTACCAACGTTAATGCAAATTTCCACGATTCTCAAATAAATTTTAATACTCCTCTCCTCGATACTATGGAATATTATGGATATTTGGAAAAAATTTGAAAAAAAATTCTAGATAGAAAATTTGGAAAAAATTCTAGATAGGATATTTTAATTACCATCCAACGTTAATGCAAATTTCCACGATTCTCAAATAAATTTTAATACTCCTCTCCTCGATCCAAATATCCATAGTATTTGGAAAAAATTCTAGATAGGATGTTTTATTACGATTCTCCAAATAAATTTTAATACTCCCCTCCTCGATTCGAATATAATAGTATTTGGAAAAAATTTGGAAAAAATTCTAGATAGGATATTTTAATTACCATTCAAATGCAAATTTTTTAATGCAAATTTCCATGAACACGATTCTCCAAATAAATTTTAATACTCGTCTTCTCGATTCAAATATCCATAATATTTGGAAAAAATTTGAAAAAAATTCTAGATAGGATATTTTAATTATTTTAATTACGATTCTTTAAATAAATTTTAATATTCCTCTCCTCGATTCGAATATCCATAGAATTTCGAAACGTTACAACGAAATTGGAAAAAAATTCTAGATAGAATATTTTATTACGATTCTCCAAATAAATTTTAATACTCGTCTTCAAATAGTATTTGGAAAAAATTGGAAAAAAATTCTAGATATGATGTTTTATTACGATTCTCCAAATAAATTTTAATACTCCTCTCCTCGATTCGAATATCGAATAGTATTTGGAAAAAATTGGAAAAAATTCTAAATAGGATGTTTTAATTACGATTCTTCAAATAATTTTTAATACTCCCCTCCTCGATTCGAATATCCATAGAATTTCAAAACGAGTTACGACGAAATTTGGAAAAAATTCTAGATAGGACGTTTTAATTACGATTCTTCAAATTGAAATTTCTTATCATCTTTTAAAAAGTGTGCGTAATGCTTGTCGAAGGAAAAATTCTAGATATTTTAATTCGATCGAATTCACGAAACGTGAAAAAAAAAAAAAAAAAAAAGAAAAGAAAAGAAAAAAAACTCGAGTAATTTTTCGTTCTCTCTCCTTTCTTCGCTATTTCCCCCGAACGTATATACCTATCCATTACACGGTTGTTTCCCAGTGCTCCCTGTATCGCCCTTTAAAAGCCTTACAATGCGTCATCACCGTCGTTCGCTACTGCTCAGAACCTGGAGTGCCCTACAACCGTACAAAAGGATATAATCGCAACCCTACAATAGAATAGAGTTCGTTTGGATCATAATAATTTCAATTGAGGGAACGAACGACGGAGTGGTTCAAAGGGCGTACACGGAATGTCCTCTCGCGAGAGAGCGAACACCGTTAAACTGAGCATTCGCGTTCCGACCGATATATATAATATAAGCCGAAACGCGGCCAAAATTCTCTTTTCCGTTTCGTAACATAAAAATCTGAAAGAAACTCAATTCCTTTCCCAAAGCGAAAAATAAAAAGAATATATACAAAAAATAATTCAGACAAAGATAAAGATTTCAAAACTTAACCTCGATTCCACTTTCCATTCGTACGGAATAATTGTTGGTAAATTATCGACAGAGACAGCTCGATCGGTATCGAAGGGACGAATCCTATACTGGAACCCAAGGAGAGGGAAAGAAAAAGGAAAAGAACGGCGGAAACTATATAATACAATCCTTGTCTATTCCGTCTCGGCTCCCATAAAAATACATTTTGCCCGATTATGATAGGGGACAGACGCGCGTGGATGGGGTGGGATGATGGTTGGCGAATTGGCGGACCTCAAAGGTCGTTTCGCCGGATGAATCCCCTGAAATGCGTGGCGGAGTGATCGCCTTTCGATCGAACGGTAATTCACTTACAAGTTAATAATGGGAAGGGGCGCGGTACACCCATTTATCTGGCGAGCAGGGGCCAAAGGGGTGGGGGGAGGCGGGCATCCACCCGAACAGAAAATACCGAAACGTCACAATTTTTCTTTCCTCTTTTTCTTTTCATTCGACCAACCACCAAAAATCTATCGCCATAATCCTCTCCAATTCTCTTTCTCCAATGAAAATTACAAATCCAACAAGATTATCAATAAATCGATTCGGTTTCCTCTCTTCTGTACTCGCTGTCTTACCTTCATCGAATCGCTTTTTTCTTTAGATTCGTTAAATTATTCCTTCCTGTAATACGAATAATTTTGTTTCAGGCGGTTTAGATTTTAGTAATTATTTAAAATGCTCGTGCAACAACAACGGGGGAGGGAGAGAGAGCTTCCCTCTCCCCATTTATTCAAACCTATATCGATCAAGGACCGACCGAGGAAGGAGTAATTTTCGGGCGTGGCGGTGAAAAGGTTCCGATTAGGGAGGGGGGGAGGGGAGTTTGCGTGATTAGTGGCGAATAGTGTAATAATCGCGAAGGTCGTTCCGTGCAATTGCTCCAGTGTAAAGAATCGGCTTTGATGGAACCCCCTCTCGGTTAGATGAAATCTTTGGAAACTATCCCTAAATTAATTTTAATTTTTATTTTCTCGCTTCCGATTCGTCTCAACGATATTCTTCACCTTTCCCTTCCCATCACTCGGAATGGACCGCCAAGAAAGAGATGTAGATGCTTTAACTTCTGAAAAATATCTACCTACTACATACCAGGCTGCCTGAGGTGGGTGTGCGTGTCCAATGCCGATTTGGATAAGCTGCTTCCGTACCCTGAAATAGGAGAGATTAACTTTAATAAATCAACGCTTAGCTTATTAACCTCGATCCACTCCTAATCTTAAAATTCTAATTAAAAACCCCTGATTAAAAATAAAGGAAAATAAATATTCTGAACGAAAGCGAGAAGTGAACGGAAGAAAAGGCCCCGTTCAGAAAGAAAGAAAGAAAGAAAGAAAGAAGGGGAAAATCGTCGGTTCATCGAAGATGAAAAAGTGAACAAGCTCGGTCGAGCGTTAGAATCCGTTAGAGAGGATTTCCGTGTAGGCAAACACGGGGCTGAGTGGTACGTATACGTTTCTCCCCCCTTCCATCCACGTTCCGTTGCCTTTTGCCATCGCCTTATCACCGCACCCCTTCCAATTCTTCTCCGCTGTTCCTACATTACGCGCGTACATACGTGCATCCAATCCCTCGCAACACACGTTATTCGCATCGTATTCGTTGCATCGTTATATTCGTGTGCGAACAACGGTATAATTTGGAATAATTTGTGAAAGAAAGATGAAACAGGAGAGGAAAGGAGAAATTGTTTGCTTCACGAGTATCTTTCTTCCTTATTTCTCCTTTGCAAAATTTTCTAGCTAGTGTCTCAAGTGATTTCATATTGGTTCTACGACAAGGGGTTCAAAATAAAGAGGAGGAAATTTTGGAATCTTTAAAATTGGTTAAATTTTAAACCGCTATATAGATATATAACAATAGAGATACGTACGATTTTTTGTGGTGATTGTAAGCAGGAAACGTACGGAAAGGGGTTGAAACGCTATGGTCGTACAAGGAAGAGAAAATTTTGGAGTCTTTAGAATAATTTTAAAACCACTGTATGTATGTATGATAGAGAAGATGAGATAGAGGTACGTACGATTTTTTGTGGTGGTTGGACGCGAGAAACATTGCTTCTTAGACTCAATTTTCATTGGTTAATATATGACAAGAGATTCAAACGCTATAATTGTACAAAGAAGAGAAAATTTTGGAATCTTTTGAATAATTATAAAACAGCTGTATCTTCGAAAATATTAAAGATACGTATTTTTTGTGGTGATTGGAAGCGGGAAACATTGCTCTTTAGACTCAATTTTCATTGGTTAATTTACGACAAGGGGTTCAAACGTATAAAGAAAAGGAAATTTTGGAATCTTTAGAATTGCATAAATTTTAAACCGTTGTATTTTCGAAGATAATAAAAATGCATACGATTTTTTGTGGTGATTTGAAGCGAGAAACATTGCTCTTTAAACTCAATTTTCATTGGTTAATCTACGATAAGGGGTTCAAACGCTATAATTGTACAAAAAAGAGAAAATTTTTGAATCTTTAGAATCACATATACTTTGCTATATCTCCGAAAATAATAAAGATATATACGATTTTTTGTAGTGATTGGAAGGGGAAACATTGCTCTTTAAACTCAATTTTCATTGGTTAATCTACAACAAGGGGTTCAAACGCTATAATCGTACAAAAAAGAGAAAATTTTGGAATTTTTAGAATTAAGTAATTTTCAAACGGCTATATCTCCGAAGATAATAGAGATATGTGCGATTTTTTATGGTGGTTGGAAGGGGAAACATTGCTCTTTAAACTCAATTTTCATTGATTAATTTACAACAAAGGATTTAAATGCTATAATTGTACAAAAAAGAGAAAATTTTGGAATTTTTAGAATTAGGTAATTTTCAAACGGCTATATCTCCGAAGATAATAGAGATATGTGCGACTTTTTATGGTGATTGGAAGGGGAAACATTGCTCTTTAAACTCAATTTTCATTGGTTAATCTACAACAAGGGGTTCAAACGCTATAATCGTACAAAAAAGAGAAAATTTTGGAATCTTTAGAATTAGGTAATTTTCAAACCGCTATATCTCAGAAAATAATAAAAATACATACGATTTTTTATGGTGGTTGGAAACAGGAAACATTGCTCTTTAAACTCAATTTTCATTGATTAATCTGCAACAAGGGATTCAAATGCTATGATCGTATAAAGAAGAGAAAATTTTGGAATTTTTAGAATTAGGTAATTTTCAAACGGCTATATCTCCGAAGATAATAGAGATATGTGCGACTTTTTATGGTGGTTGGAAGCAGGAAACATTGCTCTTTAAACTCAATTTTCATTGATTAATTTACGAAAAGGGGTTCAAACGCTATGGTCGTACAAAAAAAACGAAATTTTTGAATCTTTAGAATTGCGTAAACCGCTATATCTCAGAAAATAATAAAAATACATACGATTTTTTATGGTGGTTGGAAACAGGAAACATTGCTCTTTAGACTCAATTTTCATTGGTTAATCTACGACAAGGGGTTCAAACGCTATAATCGTACAAAAAAGAGAAAATTTTTGAATTTTTAGAATTAGGTAATTTTCAAACGGCTATATCTCCGAAGATAATAGAGATATGTGCGACTTTTTATGGTGATTGGAAGCAGGAAACATTGCTCTTTAAACTCAATTTTCATTGGTTAATCTACAACAAGGGGTTCAAACGCTATAATCGTACAAAAAAGAGAAAATTTTGGAATCTTTAGAATTGGATAATCTTAAAACGGCTATATCTCCGAAAATAATAGAGATACGTACAATTTTTTGTAGTAGTTGGAAGCAGAAAACATTGCTCTTTAGACTCAATTTTCATTGGTTAATCTATGACAAGGAGTTCAAATGCTATGATCGTACAAAAAAAACGAAATTTTTGAATCTTTAGAATTGTGTAAACCGCTATATCTCAGAAAATAATAAAAATACATACGATTTTTTATGGTGGTTGGAAACAGGAAACATTGCTCTTTAAACTCAATTTTCATTGATTAATCTGCAACAAGGGATTCAAACGCTATGATCGTATAAAGAAGATGAAATTTTGGAATCTTTAGAATTAGATAATTTTCAAACTCAATTTTCATTTATATCTCCGAAGATAATAGAGATATGTGCGACTTTCTATGGTGATTGGAAGCGAGAAACATTGCTCTTTAGACTCAATTTTCATTGATTAATCTGCAACAAGGGATTCAAATGCTATAATCATATAAAGAAGAGAAAATTTTGGAGTCTTTAGAATAATTTTAAAACCGCTGTATCTCCGAAGATAATAGAGATACGTACGATTTTTTATGGTGATTGAAAGCGAGAAACATTGCTCGATATTCGATATTCGTTACTACGATGTTCGCTCGAAGACGCGCAGATTACTCGAACTCGATTATCGAGATAAGTAGCAAGGAAGGCAAACACGACTAATCGTGAACGAGGCTTTGGTGGACGCTATATACGTATATATATATATATATGCTGCGAGCAACGGGGAAACATGGCCACCGGTCACGTTCGCGCCACCGTGCAATCTGTTTAAGGCACAATGCCCCTTAATTTCGCCTCGTTATATGCTCTCGTTACGGGAAATCGCCCCCTCCCTGTCCCCGTCCGGTATCGCGTTATCGGTTTCATCTTCTCGTTGCCCCGAAAACCGTCGAAACGTGGTAATCGGTGGGGAATTGGCGAGCCTCTAGAGGCCGTGGCTCTTTGATATTCGTTTATTCCTTTATTTTCTTCTTCTTCTTCCTCTTTTTTATTCTTGGAAAATCTATTCCATAACTTTGAGTTTTGAGTTTTGAAACGAACGAAAAAAAAAAAAAAAAAGAAAAAGGCGTCGATGAGAAAAATTAGCAGAATTTTGATTACAAAGTTTTTTTAAAAATATTTTAAATAATATACACGATACGACGATAACACACGTGCAATGCTTGAAGACTTATTTTTAGTTACCATCACAAGTGAATTATTTTTATTTTCCCATTTCGAAATTGATCGAGTCGATGAAAAATATTTCTTTTTTAAAAAAACAAATTTCAACGAGAACAAATAAATCCATGATGAAATACTTGAAGATTGAAATACTTGAAGACCTACTAATTCAAGCTACCATCACAATTTTTTGAATTAATTTCCCCATTCCCTATTTGGAAATTGATGTTCGAGTCGGTGAAAAAAAATTAGCAGAACTTTAAAAAAACTTAAAAAAAAAAAAAAAAAACAAAACTTGAACGAAGAAAGAAGGAAAATAAATCGAACGGTTTCGACGGATGAAAACGGATGCAACACCGGAGTTAAGACATTTCTACCAATCCGAGCGGATCGATTTTGTTTTCCTTTCTTTCCTCCCCCCTCCTTTTCCCCAGTCGAAGCATCCTAGGAATCCTGCAGTTTGATTGTGCAGAGGCAGATGCTGCCTCTAAATGGCAGTTGGTGTTAAACAATTTGATTTAGTCTCTGATTGGGACGCGCGACAATCTTGAGGGTTGAGGGATGCAACGCCTCGGGTCCAGATAGCGGAGGGTCCGGCCGCGCACAATCAGCCGTGGGGCTGGCGAACTGTCCTCCATCTTGACAACGTCGCAGAGTTCTTTAAACCTCCTTCCCCCCCTCCTTTCCTCCAGTTCCATCGAGCAAAAGTGTTATCGTACGCGATACGTGTCTGGATACGTGTTTCAATTCGTATCGATTTGGGACGCGAAAAATTTTGTGAGGAACAGATATGAAAAATCGTGGTGAAAGAAACGCACGGTGTTGCATTCGGTGGTTAACGACCAACACCTGTCCAACCGCTATCTCATTTGCATCCTTGTTCCAGCTGTTTCGTGCAATATAAATTACATTCGCTGTGCGTAATTGTCATAGTGTTTCACAAACGTGGGTTGAAACTGTAAATGTAAGAATAAGGAAGAATTCTTGGATTTTGGTCGATTGGGAAGGATTGTTTTGGAAGGGGAGTCAATCGAACATTGTCCACGGATTGTTATTAATTTTCTTTTGTTATTTAATTTCTCCTGTTCTAAGTTAAGATTAGTTTTGCTAACTTTTGAGTAGATTCTCTAGCAATGAAAGTGAGACTTAAGACTTTTAACTTTTAAGTTTAATGAAAGGAAGTAAGAAAGTTTAGGGGTTGTATATCATTACATTGGATTATTATTTACAAGAGTTT